CTCACTGATTAAAGAATTTTGCAGATTAGCAGGTGTGAACACACACAAACCCTGCCTTAAAACTAGAAGATCCTACATAAAAACCTGCTCAATAATTATTTGGGGACACACAACCCTGGGCTTTGGATAATGTGGACTGACACCCTGGTAATTTGCCCCAAGTGTTCAACCTAACTGTGGGGCCTCTGTTATTCATCTTGGTCAGGAGGGACCCAGCCTCTTTGTGTGAAGGATCTGGTTGCCCCCCTTCATTAGGCATGGCAAGGGCACAGCGGTTGATTAAATTAACAACTTTAGAGGGCTTCAGTCCCAGTTCCCAGACATTAGCACCATCATCCAGAACAAATTAAAAGCCTCACAGCAATTAAGCAGATTTTGGAAATGAATTTCCCATGGTTCAATGGCTCAATAGCAATCTTAAGTAGTAGAGAAGAGCCTAGAAGGCTAGAAGGAAAAGAAGAGAAACTGATGATTGATTTTCCAAAGTAAACACACAAACTGGTAGAAGCAGCACAAACAATAAACTTCTGAGCCTCTGTTAAGCAAGGCGTTTGCATTTCTTTTATATAAAATTGGAATATTCTGTCACCAAAGTTAAAGGGATAAGAATGTAGTGGAATTATTCTATTAAAATGGTGAATTTCAGAAGGATTTCTCCTCCTCTATTTTCTTTGTTTTTAATTACTTCATTGTAGTCTTGTTCAAAAATATAAATAGAGGGAACCAAAAATATCTGTTTCCATTCACTAGATTTTAAAGTCAAACAAGCAATCTTCCCTAACTCAGGCAGTGGAACCATCCACATCGCTTGGACTGGTTTTAACCAGTATTTAGAACAATGATGGGCCCATAGTAAAATAAAATAAAATAATAAAGTGTCATCATTTTAAAGGAGGGATTGCATAGTATCTTTTTTGCAAGTCTCTGTTTTCTCTCCTTCTCTACCACCCATGCCCCTCACTCTGTGCCACCTCAGTGTCCTATCCCATTACTTGCACCTCTAGCTGGAAGGTCTGACAAGGAAAGAAGTCTAGCTTTCTCCTTGGCTTCTGCTTCCTTCTCTTTCAAGCTGACACATGTGTTTCTTACTCTGCTCCTGCCTGGCACCTCTGCCTGGCTCCACTTGTAGTGTCTCCTTGCTTGCAGGCACATATTCGACACAGCATGCTTCAGTACCATTTGGGCACCTGAAGGAATGTGTGGATGAATTCATTCCACCCACCAGATATGCAAGCTGAACACAATGGAATGCAGAGGTGGTTATGTGCACATATTACATTTTCTTGATATCAAGAGCATTTATAAAAGCTGACATCATAAACACACATTATTGGTCTCTAAGAACAACCATAAATAAATCTACAAAGTTCTTAGAAGGGAAACAGAAAAATGAGTTTTTCATTTTTTAAGAGTTCATAGTAAAATTACAGTCTTCTAAAAGAAGTTCCTTCAAAAGCCTTCATGCAGCCAAAGAAATATATTTGCTACTTAAAGATCATAAATCTCGAAATTTCCCTTATCCTTCAACATTTACATTTGAATAGTCAAAATTTGGAAATATGTGCACCAGTGGGTGTTCCCTTCCTCCCACTAAACTTCACCAACCAGCCACAGGCAATTCTCTGCTTTTATGGCCAAGTAAAGACTAAAATATATAGATCAGACATAGTAACAATTAGCACAACAGCAGGAAGAAGGAATGAATCCCTCTACTAGTGATCAGGAGGCTGGGTGTGAATCTTATTCCTTCGCCAGGTCTTCTCTGAGTCTTAGTTTTCACAACATATCAAAAGTTCCCTTTCCTACTCCAAAAGTTGTGCGACAATAATAAGCATTCACACCAAGAAGTGGGACTATCTTGAATGGTCAAATGAAAATAAGAACCCTCTCCTCACTTAAATAGTAAAAGAATCGCCTGGAATTTAGCATTGCAAATTTTAGGGTAGAGCAGTTGAAGCATTGTAACTACCTCTGTGATAAGTCCAAAATGCAAGGCATTTATCTATGCTTTTCTTCAACAAATATTATTGGGTATTTATGTTGCACTGGTCGGGGATAACAACTCCAGATACTGGTGAGCACATCAGACCATTCTTGTTCTCATGTAGCTTACAGTTTTTTAAGAGGTTAGATTTTCATCATTATTTTTTGTTTCTCATACAGCACTAAATCTCTAGTTAATCTTGCAACAGTTGATATTTTAATAATTTTTTTTTAGAGAGAGAGAGAGAGAGAGTTTTTTTTATATTTATTTCTTAGTTTTCGGCAGACACAACATCTTTGTTTGTATGTGGTGCTGGGGATCCAACCCGGGCCGCATGCATGCCAGGTGAGCACGCTACCGCTTGAGCCACATCCCCAGCCCAGTTGATATTTTATAAGCAAAAGATCATCAGTTTTTCCTCAAAGTTTGACTTTCAAAGGTCTTTGTCATGTATTTTATGTCTAGAAGGAAAAAAATTTCCCCAGTGGATAATGACTCCAATTTCATAATATTAAATAAAAGGACAACTGGGATTCACTTTGCAGCAGAGACAAAATAGATCTCTTCCACATAGTGAGTGATAATCATTTAAAAAATCTTGCTAGCATGGGTTTTCTATGCTATAAGTAGCCATAAACACTGGCTCAGAATTTAAAAAGGTGAAAGTTTAAGATTCAAAATCAGCTCCTTGGAAACTACCACTAACTAAAGGAAAAAGTAAATTAGTGACTCCAGTTTACCAAATAAGTGAATAATATGCTTCTTGCACTATTGGTTTGCATAGATTATACCAATAGGAAGGTCATCAAGCAGGATGGCTAGGTTTCTATTTTGATCTAATCCATTAAGGGGCACAAATAATCTGTGATGGATCTAACAGACACAGAATGACTCAAAACTATCTATTAATATAGATATTAAAAAATTACTTAGTGGCAACTTCTAATTTAGGGAAGTGGCTCTCTTACACAGGCTGCTCTAATTAAGCAGGCACATATGAAGCACCTGACTTGTTCTCTCATTTTAATCCACAAACTCCCTGTGGAACAGATTTTTTAGATGAAGAAACTGAGGTTCCTGCATATAAATGCTTTTTCTAGGTTACAAAGCAAGTCTGATAACAAATAGACAAATCGGATTACTACCATTGATAAAATGACATTCCTGAAGTTAGAGATCTGATCACTCTGAATGGAAGGATTAGTAAGTTTTTCAATGAACCAAAACCATCATAGGGAAAACCTTCAGCCAACACTTTGCTGTGGAATGACTATATCCTAGGAATTCTATAATATGCCTAAGTCATCAATAGGTACTTATCAAAACTGCTGTAATCATCCTGCTTAGGGGGAAGAGTTCATAATGTCCCTGAACAGAGCTGATACAAATACCCTGTCCCATCCCAATCCAGAAACAAAACAAAACAAACAACAACAAAAAAAAACTGTCTCACATATATGCTAAACCTGGCTTTGTAAAAATCCCAATCATCCTGCTCATGGTCCTCCAAACCATATTTTCTTTCTTTCCCTTTTTTAACAAGTAGGTAGGGCAGGGGAAGAAGCTAATGACAGAAACTCCTTTGATAACTATAAAAAAAAAGAAAGAAAGAAACAAATTCTAATTAAAAGATAACCTTAGTGTCCTGTTAGTTTAAAAGTAATCTACAAATTGTCTATCCTGTTTTTGTGGATTTTTTTTTCCTCCTCTTTCATCAGTTACCACCCAGAAATACCATGTTCTCATACAGTGAAACTGTTTTGTTTAGGCGTGTTCAAAGAATGGAGCCGGGGATTTAACACTGGCAGGTTCATGCACCTGCAAATACTGTGAAATCAGGTGTGGGGGGGAGCCCCTCTGTGAAATCAAGGGTGTCACAGGTGCCTGTCATAGCCAACACCCCCCCACACACACACACACCAAAATCTTTCTCAGTAGAGATGTGACAACAAGCCCCCCCCCCTGGTGTAGTCTGTTCAAAGTCTCAGCAAAAATTTTATCTACAACTTCCTTAGCCCAGACACGCAGGGACTAATGCAGCAGGCTGGTTCACACAAGCCAGAACTAGCTCAAGATTACAGAGAAAAGAATGTGGGGACGTGTCCTTTCCACATTGGAGGATTCCACTCTGGGGCGAGTTACAGACTAAATGAGAGCAGATAAAACATATAAGAACCAGAGTAAAAAGAACCAGACCTCAAATGGCCTGAACTGCTTTGAGAGAGGGCTGGATTTAATAAACTATGGAACCCAACATTTTGGTTGTGATCACCTGAAGGCAAGCACGCTAAAGAGACTTGAAAGCCAAGATTTCATTTCAGCTAAATTAGACAGTGCAGAAGAACATAATATTTTCTGACTGTTGAATTTCAACCAAAAGAAAGGGGGGGCGGATTTACAGCATAGTGATTGCACCTCTCAAATCACACATATGTGCTTATCAGTTGCAATGGCTGAGGCCCTCAATGTTTTAAACCCTATTTTGGCAGATCTGAGTTTTCTGTTTGCAGTTACCTTCAGAGTTAAGAAAGGGCAGAGACAAAGGAAGAGGGATTTTGTGGCTTCTTTTATATATAAGTCAAACCCCCAAATGTAGAGTTATGTAACATTCCCTCAAATTCACAACTTCAGAATTATGCTTGCACAAACCTCCTCCAAAAGGACAAAAATCAGTCATAGATATTTAGTCAAGGAAGCTGCAGAATGATAAAAATCTTAAAACCAAACACATACATAAGGTCCATACTACACATCTGTTTTTCTTCCCCATATTACATGTCTGGGTTTTATTTTATTTCTTTTTTTTTTTAAGTTTTAAATTTACAACATTCCCCCAAGCAGGAAGAAGGGAATGTACCACACCCTCAGCAAGCAAGGAAGGACTTCAGGGTTTTTGTTTTGTTTTGTTTTGATTTGATTTTTTAATTCCTTAGAGTCCTTTAAAATCCACATAGAATTTAGTAACACTGTTATTAGCTAAGAATCATAAGTATACAAAGACAAAAGGGAAAAGACGAAGTTTTTACTATTTTATTTTTCAGCACTGTAACAGAAAAGTCAATCAAGCTGTATGAAGCATTAGTTGGGAATTTTCTGCATATTAACTCCGTGAGAGCCTCAGACAGAAATCAGATGACCTCCAGGCAGAAACCCAGAAGGAGATGAACCTTTGGAGCACTGCTGGCATCAGGCCTGAGTCCAAACCATGGCTCAGCCTCTAATCCTGTGAACTCAGTTACTTCCCTTTCCTGGACTCTGAATCCTGCTAAAATGAGATGGAACAAGATGGTTTCAGAGGCCCTTTCATCTTTACAATTTAACACCGAGAAGCTCCACAGCTTCTATTCAGGCCAAACATCACCAAAGTGTACAGATTCAGAGGACCCACACAGCTGCACTCATGGAGAGTAACAAAACACACACCTTTATTAAAATCATATATAAAGCAAAAGCAATAGATAGACCCGAAGTAAAAGCAGGAGGGATTCTTTTGGGAGTTAAGTGTGCATGCTTTTGGAGAACAATTTGGTCTTATGTAATTTATTAGTTCCCTGCAATGATATTAATATCCACCATTTTTTTTTGGAAGACCCATAATGAGATGTTTGGATAAAACATCAGCATTTATATTAGAAAGCAGGATGCCCTCCATGAATTTCAAAACCAAACCTATTAATGCTTTGGGTCATTCTCATTCCTTCTACCTCCATAGATTCACCAACGTGGAGTGTTTGATAAAGTGGTGGTGACTTAAGGAAGGAAAAGAATAGATAACAAACAATGTCATGATCTTAAAGCAAAGAAGGCCAGAGAAAGAAAAGGAAGAGAAATGGGGTTTTGCAGATGGTGATACTCAAAAGTGATTTGGAGATCACAGCGCTGGTAGGCCTTGTTCAAGGAGATATCCCAACATGTGCCAAGTCCTTTGGGGTAGATTCTGGGAATATGTAATTTTCTGCAACCCTCCATGAGATGGAAGGCTCCTCCTTCCATGTCACTGTTGAGAAAGGGAGTCAAGGAAGTTTGGTGCCTTATTTGACATCATCAAGCCCACACTTTGCCTGCAGAGTCCCAGTCACATGACATTGTCTGGAGACCAGGAATTCTCCCTTTGGGAGGGATCCGCCAGGATGCAGGCAACAGTTAACTGCCTCCAATCAGCTTTCATGAACTTGGTGCTATCTAGGGCTTGGAGAAAACTGAGTCAACTATTTTCAGACCATTTACCTTTTTTCTAAAGAAAAATTTTGCAATGCCTAGCCAAAACAAAGGCTGGTGGCCATGGCCTTTTCTTTCAATTACTTCTGCTTTTTTGGAAATGTGTATCTGTAAAGCCCCTGAACTAACCCAGAGAATTAATCAGAAGTTTTAAGAAGATCCTATAATTCGTGTGAGGGATAAAAGAACACCATTTGACAAGGAATACTAAAAGAATGGAGTAAGTAGAGAAAGGGGGAGAAGAAATGTGCTTCAAGACCCAGGATATAAATAGGCATAGTGGATGGAAATACTAGCTCAGTTTGGGTGGGAGTGAGTGCCATCAGAAGTAGGTTTTAGACATTCTAGCCCAAGATGTGCCCTGAAAAGGTGTCCCTATGTTTGCCAAGGCCTTACTTTTCCTTTCTTGAGCCCATCTTCTGTCCACATCCGAGTTGCCCTCTGTTTTCTTCAATGGTTCCATCTAGACCTACTGTGTCTGCTAAAGCCAAAGGCCGTTCTATGGGTTTATGGTCTCAACAATTTTCTATTATAAAGGCCAGCCACCCTTAGCTGTGTGTAATACTTTCTTTTAGGGGGAGTTGGCTTGTGATGTTCTCAGGTTCAGCCTTCCCCAGCGTGGCCTGCAAGCCCCAGTCAACACTGACAATGGCTGGCATGGGGGTTATTAAGTATTAGGAGCTGGGATTGTTTGCTCAGAAAGTAACTAGGTCAATGATCAGTGATCATGCAGTGATGGGAGTGCTCGGCTGGAAGAGGGTGGGAGCAGAAGAAGGGTAGCCTGAGCTTTCATCTTCTATTTAATCTGTGTAGAATCATTTCATCACACTCACCCCTTTGTTTCCCATAGAAACTGAAGGGACAATGGGAGCAGAGCACCATTAGGCTTAAGAGCATGGCTTAGAATTCAATCAAGGATCAGGGGCTTGGGTCAGCCCTCTTACTATCTCTGTCACCTCAGAAATTTCCTTAAATGAACCTGAGATGCATCTGAAAATTGGAGAAAGTCATTGTAACTGCTTCTCTGGGTTGTTATAAGGATTAAGCAAATCAACACGGGTGAAAAGCTTTTTCACGTGTAAGTCCTTAAAGTGTCAAAGGTAGTGAGCCAAATATCCTGCTCCTGGTCAGACATCACCCTGGCCACTGCTTCTTCTCCCCTACAAGTTTCAATTACAGGTGGAATGTGGCCTTTGGATGTTAGTAAACAGTATTAGTAAATGGCTAAGAAATCTCAGTGCTTTTGAATTCTAAACATATGTGTTCCTCTTTTCTATAATTTAACAATTTTTTTTACATTAGTCCTTTTATAAAAAGGAAAAGTCAGAAAACATTGTCCAACCTTCAGGTTTGAGAATTTCAGTACCCCAAGATCCTCCTTTCCTCTCCAATCCCCCTCTGAGCACTTTTGGACACATGTGCCACATCTGGCACATGTGTCCATTTAGTTCACCATCACACAACCTCAGAGAAGAAATGAGACCTATGTGAAGTAGATGTGACCCATTTCATTAAACGATGTTCCCTGTCTTCCATGCTCTCATAGTATCTCCGTAATTGAGAGTTGCAAATCTTTCAATGAAGAAAATCTCTCAGCATTTTCTCCCCTACAGAACAAGATGTATCTATTCATGGTGACAGCATGGCTGCTCCTGACAGCCTCTGGTCTGGGATGCCTTCGTTATTGTGCATGGGTGTGAACATAAACAAAAAATTGTCCTTTGGGAAAGAGAATTTTCAATTTTCAGCAAGAGGCTCCCCTCTCAACTGCTCCACCATCACGGCCAATCCAGACTCTCTGAAACCCTCTCTAGCCTCAGTTGATTCCTTCTCTTGTTTTCCTTTGAAAAAGTCCGGACTTATTATGTAACTACATAAACATGTTAAAACCACTAGCTAGGGAAAATAAAATCAAGTCATCTTCCTTAAAGTAGCAAATCTCAAAATACTTTATGGTTAATGAACTTGGCTGCTCAGACAATTGGATGATTCACACAATTATGGAGACAGGTTAGAACCTGTAATAAATCGGTTAGACTGGCATCTGCCAACTCTTCAGAAGGTGTCCTCCATTAGCCTTGGTGAGACTCTGCTTTGGTCTGTATAGCTGGACTCCATTTACCATCACAAATGAACCCTAACTAAGCTAGGCAATCTTTTACTAAATCTTTCTATACTCATATAGTAAAATGGGTATAAAAATACCAGTTTGGCTAGGGTTGTGGCTCAGTGGTAGAGTGCTCACCTAGCATGCATGAGGTACTGGGTTCAATCCTCAGCACCACATAAATGTAAAATAAAGATATTGTGTCCACCTAAAAAAACTTTAAAAAATATTTTAAAAATACCAATTTGACATGACTATTTGTGGATTATAATATACAAATTTTGGCAGACAGTCCACATTCAACACATGTTAAACTATATATATACACACATACACATATATATAATTTTATTCATATATTTATTTAAAGATAAAATATTAACATAATGATTTGATGGTATAATTAGCAGGGCTTCCAATTTCATATGTTTTCAAATTCTCAGTTAATTAGTGAAAATTATCTTAATGCTAGAAAACTTCAGCAAAAGACATCTTTTGCTGGTAAACTTAGATTAAAAGGGGCTCTTCCCTACCTTTGGCTCTTCCAACTTAACCAGTTTTTAAGGCCCTTCTTTTCTAACCCCAGTCAACATGCAGCTCTATCCTGAGCACACAGTAGGCCCTAATAAATACTTTGCATATTAGGTAAGTGGTACATATAAGCTTTAAGCAACCGACCTTCATAAAATCTCAACAAATCCTAAATCACTGTAGAATCACCCTGAGGAAGATAAGGTAAGACTCTTTCCACAGTCTGTATGATTTTTTTTAATTCAAAAGTCGTACTATTGTAAAATGTCAACTAGGTAGGGAAGGCTTTAAGTCCACACCTGTATTCCAGGCAGAGGACTTGAAAACTTCACAGGGCTACACATAATATTATGATCTCAAGGAACTGTTTCCTATTTTTGTAAGGAAAAGGAAAGTTCTAGAAGAAGTCTAGACAGGTAGTACTGAAAGAACACAGAGATGAAAGAGCTTTGAGACTGTTCACATAAGCATTATTTTACTGCAGCAGTCAAGACGATGCTTTAGCTTTTTAAAAGTCAAATAATGTTATTTTGATTACTATAAAAATTATCATTTTCAAAAAGAATGAATTTGTGAGCTTTCATAGCACTTTCACAAACTACATTAAATACCTAGTTACTAAAGAGAAAAAATGCATGGTTTAGTCAGATGAGAAATTTTATAAAATAAAAAACAGAATCAAATACAGAAATATGTGGACAAATATGAACCAAAAACCAATTAATTAGAGCTTTTCAAGATTCTCACCAGATACCTAAATACTACAGAATTACAACAGCATTGATGTACCGTGAATTTTTTTTAAATGCAACAAGCTTAAAATCAAATATACTGAGGAGTAAAACACATGCATTCTGAGTTAACTGTAATTTCATAATTCTGCAACTTCCAGATAAAGACCATCAATAGTTTTCACTTAACTATTTCAATATGTGCCATATAACTGAAAGGAGTAGATAAACCCATGTACCATTTGAGAAAAGTGATTTTACATGTGTGTGTATGCATGTATGCATGTGTTATATACATTATTTTCTCAAGTTTTACAAAACAAACAAAAAGCCAGTCACATAAGTGAAGTTTTTAAAAGAAACAGTGACCCTTCATAAAGAAATAATAGTTGGCATTTTTTTTTATATTTATTTGGAGATTTAAGTGTGGAATCCTTCCATTCGTGGGTATGCTTGAAACAATGCAATAATTTTCTATTCATTCAGTTCCAATCTTCACACTCTGAACAGTCTTAGAACAGGTGGAACAGTGACCTGCTTTTTCAACCATCATATCCCCCAGACATGACTAATTTGAAACTGAGCAAATTGTTCATAATAGGTCAGGGATTCAAGTTCATGAGTTTTTAGTGGCTGCACTTTTGTTGAAGGGGACATGGTCTCCTTCCCCTCTTCCTTCCAACCCCTGAAGCTGCCTCTCCATGAACTAAATTCACCAAACATGAAAGCAAAGGAACATTATTTTAAAATTTTTTGCAAGCTTATTTTTCAGGAGGATCAAGATTAAGCTATTTCTTTTAAAATATCTTATTTTCCTTTAGGGGTTCTTAAAGTTTAAAATGAATTCTACATACCTGAAGAAACTAGTCACTTAAGAAGACTTCTGAATAAATAAGAAAACATTCAGATGCCTACTTTTACAGTGGCTCAAAGTTTTCACAAAAACATGATATATATCACTGAATTTAGAAACACCCTAAGTTCTATCATATAAGATATTGATTTCAGAGCCTTTTTACAAAATCCCATTCAATGTGTAGCAGTACATAGGTACTGGCATAAAGAAGAAGAAGAAGAAGAAAAAAAACCTAACACACAAAGCAAGCAACTGACAAACAAACTTAGGAAGAAGGTCACTGGGGTAAGAGTATATTTAATCTGGCTAAACCAAAACTCAACTCCTCATATTTGCTTTTATGGCTAATGTTTTTCTCCATCAATTCTAAAAGGCTGCACCAAACATCAGGCCAAATGTAACATAAAACTCTTGTGAATACTAAAAGAGTTATACAATTAGAACTTTAAAAATAAAGACCTTAAACTCATTTATCTACCAATGAGGACACAAGTCTATTGATTAACAGACTTGCTTGGTCACTTTGGGGCTCATGGTTTGTCACTACTGTTGGGGAATGATGGTTGTTTACTTTTGTGTTGTGTAGAACTGTGGGGTACCTTTCCAATCCAATCAGGTGCTTTGATGTTTAGACCCTCCCTTCCTAAGTTGCCACACATATTGTAGCCAGTTCAAAATGGACATTTTCTTTTCTCATTTGGCCTACTGCAGATATTTTAGAAAAAATACTCCACACCCAGGACACCTGACCCCGTTAGTAGCAGTGGCATTGAGCAGTGAAGTTCTCTTCTCACTGAGAACAGGAGATGGTTTCTGAACTTCACCTTGACTTTCCAGTTCTCAAACTGTTGAAAAAACTACTGATTCCACCTGTTCACTTTGCTGCATTTCTGTTCTGTGCTTGGTTTTGTCTACTTTCCAATTTAGGCAACTGGAGTGGGAAAACATATGGCTTACCTTTTGCTAATATTCATTTTCCAAGGGTCTTATACCATATTCAAGTTCCTAGATTGGTGTAAGAGCGAAAATAAATTACTACCCCAAAAGCAAGAGTAAAAGCTAAGACACCAATCAATGTGGGCTGGATCCAATCTGTTTGGACTGGGCATCAGAACTGGGACACAGACTTTGCAATTGAGAAAGGAGGAAAGCAGCAGTAAACTTCTACAATTTCCCGGAGAAATGTTATGCATCGATACTTTTCTTTTATAGGGCAAGTTAGAACTAAAGCAGTTTATTAATTGAGGTGAATCTACTTATGGTTAGAACCTGCCCCTGCCTTTTTTATATTGTCCAGTATGGTCACTAACCAGGTTCTATGGGGGAAAATAACTCTTGGCATTACTTATTGCAGACAAACCCTGCTTTGAACAAATAACTGTTCTGGCCCCATAGGAATTCTAATGCCCAACAAACACTCAAAGTGCCTTGGGATCTCCTCCACAGTAGTAAGATTCCAGAAATCAAACTAGTTTCAAAAGTGCCCAAGGAAACCTACTACATGGATAAAGAGCTCTCCAAGCCCAAGAGATCAGTTTTAGAAAAAGAAACACACACCAACAAACACCTGGAAACTATGTGTAATGGTTCGCTGCTTGTGCAAAAACCTCAAAGAGGATGAAGGTCAGACAGGGATAATAGGCCAATTTAATTCTGAAAGCACAAGGTGCAAGAAATTTTAATTATGGTCTGCCACTGAAATCACACAAGATCCAATGGCATCTAACTGCAACTGCTCATCAAGGGAGACAAGAGGTGTAATTGTAACCGCTGCATAATCACTGTGAGGGCACAGAGAAGGCTGTCTTCAGCTCCCAGCAGAGAAGGTATTAAGGGCCTCGAAAAATCCAATACAGGGAAACATGGAGATTGTAAGAAGCCAAACACAAAAGCCAAACCCGTGTGTGCAAGTGTGCGTGCGTGTGGTGTGACAGAGTGTTCCAGAAACAAAAAAGAAGCTGTTTAGCCCACATTGAAGATAGGAGCTTGGAAAACTCGGAGCCTTTTCCGCTTTGTGGATACGTGCACACAGAAAGGCACAGCTCCTCCAAGAACTTCACTCCTCCTGAAGCTTCTCCCACTCTCCTTTGTTTAAAATAATTAGCTCGGATGTAATAGTGATTAACAGGACCAGACTCCCGGTAATTTGCTCTCATCAAACCCGGGTCTGCAGACAAAACGCTACTCAGAAGGCTGAAGGTGTCCAAACCCCTGCAGCTCCTGCGGCGCGCGGCCGCCCGCGCCCTGAGGCAGTTCCTCCTCAAGTCGCGCCGGCTCCAGGAAAAAAGGACGCGCAGACAAACCCCTTCTGTGGACAGTCTCTACTAGACAAAGTTTTTAACAAAGCCTCGAAGTAAGGGAACTGAACCTCGCAACCGCGCCCGCTGCAAAGTTGGCGCTGAAGTTTGTGCCAGGATGTCCCAATCTTGAGAGGAAAGGGACGCGAGTGTGCCAAGAGGCGGGAGGATGGATGGTGATGGAGAGACAGTGAGAGAAAGTGAGGTTTTTTCAAGTGGATCGTGAGTGAGACGATCTTCCGAACCCGGAAGCCAATTTGGCCCCAAGAGGTCCGAGAGGTGCATGCCACCGGAGGTCTCCAGGACTGACGCCGTCGCCAGGGGCATTTAGGAGCTGTCACCTGCGGGGAGCCCTGGCGGGAGCGGAGACGCCCTCCTAGGCGCCAAGGGAGAGGGCTCCAGGCTCCAGACTCAAGGATCTCGGGACTCTAAGAAGTGGGGGAGGGGAAATTCTCGAGAGGACAGGAGGCCAAAAGCAACTTTTCCGATATGCTTTTCTCCTCTGACCTCTCCAACTTCCCGCTTGGTCAGCCGAAGACTCTTACGACCCACTCTTACCCCATCGCACCTCCCAGCCCGCGGTTCAAAC